CTGGCGGCCTTGAATGCAAATTTGTCTCTATACTCTTGAACATTTTTCCCAGACGGAGGTTTTTAATATCGAATTTGAAAGTTTATGGCAGAAAAAAATTTAAACTATGTTTTCTTCTTTCAGTTTGAAAAGTTGCCGTTTTTTTTATACCAAAGATTCTGAGAATTGGTATATTCAGAAATCGGTCGAAGTGTTCCACGGCTAGGCCACCCTGCGCATTTTTCTTCCTCCGTTTTTTTTTTTAGAAAAGAAACCTGTGTAAATACAGATAAAGGGAACCGAAAGAAAATATCAATTAAATATAATAATGCTCTTTTTTTTTAAGCATGAACAGTAAGTAAGCCGTATACGGTTTCATGGATTCCACGATTGACTCATTCCCCGAATGGCATTTTTACATTGATTCGAACGCTCTGGTTCGAATACAGTATCTGTCAGATATTAAACAAATCACGCATAGGAATATTCGCTGCACTGATTCAAAATGAAAAGAGAATTTGAATACGGATCGACTGTAGCTTTACGAGATAGGATCCATATAAGGTGAAAGGGAATGCAACTCGAGATTGGGTTGAATCCGGGCGCTGGTGGTGAGCGCAGGGTCTTCACAACCCGTGCTGCGACGTAGATGTAATGTTTTTTTTCCTGCTATGTAAATCGTAACCCTGCCCATCGCTAGATGCACTAAATATTCTGGAAGTGCAGCAACGGCACGCGGGGTGCCACGGACAGACTTGGGCTTATCAATCCTGAAGACTGGAGAAATCAAAGCAATACGGTAGTGAGCATGCTGCAATCTTTCTGTCGTCCGAATTTTCTTCGTGCAACGATTATTTTTGATGGGATGAGTTACCTATCTATGCCTCTGTGCACCCATGATTAATCCCGATGATAAGGAAATTCATACCGCATGATGTAGAAATATGCAGGAGTCATTAAAAGCGCATGATGGCTTCAACCTTGAACTCAACGATGCATCTTATCCGCAGCTTCATTTGTATGGAGCATGAAAGATGCCGAGGAATAACTTTTCTGCTTCGCATGAAACTGGAGGAATTCCATTCATTATTTTCTGCAGTTTTACTACAGCATAAGATTTACTTTTTTATTCACTTGACCACACGATGGGGCGAAGTGGGAATGAAAAATTGCTGGAGCGAAATAAAAAAATGACAACATTATTGTTTGAAAATTCGCACGAATCTCAACCATATAAATTAAAATAAGGAATAAACTTAGTTTGATTTGATTGACTTGCTGCTTTCTGAGTACACAAGCAGAACAGATATGTTTCGGTCTTCGTATCTCTAGTAAAACGGCTACCTAGTTCCCCGAGAAGTAAAGTTGTGAAAAGTAAAGTATCTCTGATTTCCAGATAAAAGGAACGATCTAATCATTCATGAATCATTGATAATGAAAATGAAATGTATAATGTATACGATATCAATTTCGGCGTGAAGTACTGTATTTACAGTATATATTTTAAATAAATTAAGACTTGGAGAACTACATATCATTGCCGAAATGATCCATTCAAGAGTAGCTGTACTATTAGAGGAGGATTTTAAAATCACGTGCAGGGAGAATATTGTTTTAGATGTCAAGGCAGACTTATTTTCCAGTCATGCAGGGTTCATTATTTGAGCAGTGTTCCTTCTTGGAGCGATGTAAGAAAATAGTTGAAGTGCTTCGATGATCAACGTCTATGGTTTATATATTTTACGAAACGTGCTAGTTCTAATAACATACATGCAGAAGCGGTGAATGGAAAACGAGATAATTTGTCCGACCTGTCACTTCTCTATAAAATGAATCTGTCATTCGAGTTTGATGCTCGTTCTCAGACGCTGAGAGTTCGACAAATTTATCTGGGTGACGGCAGTAAGATTCGATGTCCGCACAGCGTCATCACGTAGTGTGTGTTCTTCGTAACAGTTTCCCCAGAAACCAAGTGTCGAGTCCCTCGGATATCCTTGATGAATTTCGGAGGACGAAAGAGGCTCAGCATTGGCGTTCCCAACGCTCCTTTTTGTTTTCTTCGCAAGGTGACAAGCTTAGAATCACGGTTTGGTTCAGATGAATCAAACCCGAGCCAACGACCCGCCGTCCGGACGACGAACGACACCCGCGCGCCTTTCGTGGACGCCGATCCGATGATCAACGGATTTTTACGATCGCACCGCCGTTTTCGGGAACGGGCGGGAAGAAGCGGCTCATTACTATTCGCCCCGCGACCTCGTAACATAAATTTCCTTCGGATGCCCAGTGCAAGATGTCCCTTTGTTTGGGGGGTGAATATCCCTGAAGATATATTTTCGTGATGGGGACGCAGGTTCGTAATTCCGTCTCCCGAAGCTTTGCTCAGCTTCCCACGCCCGGGCGCGCAGTAAAAACGCTCCCGAGGGGATAATTGATGTCGCTCGACCGGATTCCCGACCCTGTGCTGGGGTTACATGACAATTTAACCTCCTGCCACGCGAAGCACGTGAAAGACTGCCATTTCTGCGATGCTGGCAATATCGGAAGACCTCAATTGTCGATACTCCTGCTTCTCGACTGAGATTCCACATAAGCTTTTCTTGCCCAACGCGTGGACTTCCTTCACCGACACTTACTTTTCCGCGGATGGTTGTGAAATCGAAAAATTCTAGGCATGTAGCAGACGTGCTGAGCAACGAGCGTTATTGCATTTTTCATGTCACCCACGAAGATTTGTTTCCATACCGATCCACAGAACCTCGCCTCGGTCTTTAGTCTTCACGGATTTGTAAGCCAACCAAGGAATGAAATCCGGTTTCATACTACGCATGCATTCCCAAGTGTTCTGTTGGAAATTCCGTGCATATATCAAGACTCAAAGAACAGATTACCTCACCGATAGTCGAAGAACGAATGTTTTCTGCCATGACTAGGAAAATGTTTTACCTCACGAGAAATGACTGTTTGAAACAGATGAAGTGCGGGTTCTCCGTTAAGATATTCACGCATCCTCACGATGACTCTCATGTCAACGCAATAAATCTGTCGTGTCGAGAATGGGTGTCTCGCATACATCATGCGAATGAATTGACATGCCCCACTAGTATCAGCAATCTTTGCAATGCTTCGTTGTGAAGGGAAATAAAATTTAAGGTCGGGTTTGAATTATGTCAATCTTCCGTATACAGTATTTACAATTTAGAAGGATTTGCGCTGATGCGTTTTTATCCTGGAAGTTGCTGTGATTGCACGATATATATGCTTTCCAAAGAGGCAATTAAACTCCCAAACGATAATGATAACATCATATATGAATAAACGTTCTTTTTCATCACGTTGCAACAACCATACATCTTTCATGCAAGTGGATAAAATTGCAGAATGAGATGAAAAAAGCGGGACGATTCATTTACATTCTAAAATTAGATGCACAGAAATGAGTGTGGAATTTTCACAATTTGAATATGTTGCTGGTGCTCCCCAAAAAAATGAACGTGTGGTGAACACATTCTTAAACAAAATCAGTCAAAGCGTGCGTTGAGGGTCGTTTTTTAAATTAGGCCATTGGTGTTAGAATATCAATTATTTGCATTGTATGAAAATTAATTTTATCTGTACGAAAGAATTGTCATTCGAAAAATGGTGCTTTTCGTCTGATAAAGCTAGAAATTTTCGAAGTAACGTTGATTAATCAGTCACCCAGGCATATGAAAGTTTTCTGCAGTTCAAAAATACATTCAAACCTTTGTATTATTATCAAAGGCCAATTAAATGTGGCATTCTTCTATTCATTTGAAAAAATAATAATATCTCACGTATGAAAATGTCGGATTCGATAAATTAAGACTTGATTATAGGGGTCCTCTGTAAGCATATCAGGAATGCTTGAATAAATAGTATGCCACAGTTATTTACTGCAAGAATTTTCCTTGTGTCAGGAAAATAATTTTAAATTCACTCATTCACTATTCTATAAAAAAAATTATGCGTTTTCAAACGGCAATGATTGCTGACATTCTTCGTTCAACTCCACTGAAAAGGAGACCCACAAACGTTTCAGAAACGCGTTTATGTTTTTTTTTTCAATTCTTCGGACAGTCGTGTGTTACATGTGACTCACGAACTGCTTCAAGTTTTGAGTAATTTCTGCTGGTATCCACAAAAGCTCCGACAAAATTGCGGGGTTCGTGGATGCAAAAAGTATAGGGAATCCTGATACTGGTAAATACAAGTACATGGAAGTGCTTGATTCATATTACGTGGATTAGTAAGGTTGGATTTATTTAATTATTTAATTCCGTAGCGTTGTATTATTTTTCTTCTTGAGACCAGTCCCAAGAAGTCGCTTAAAACAAATGTACGTATCTCCATAATGATGGGCGATTCCTCGACGTCCAAATAAGTGTCATTCCTTGAGTAAATCCGTGTGCTGACAAATGGGATTCCTTTTTAGATTTAATAACTACAATAGTCATTAAATGCCCTCCATTTACAACGTTCTGACGGTAGCTAATTTACGTAGTTCCTTCATTCAGTTCTGTTCTCAGTAGCACTCAAATTATTTACTGGATTCCCGTGAAATTGATACGGATATCGGAGAAATCACGCATTCAGAAATATGATTCGTAAAATGCTGATACCTTTGCAGGTGCGCTCAATATATTCGCTTTCCTGGTTAATAACTTTGTCAGGAAAATTTGAAGCTATGATCGACTGACTCTTCTGGAAAATGAGCAGCAGAAAATTTTCGAAAGCCCAATCCACCTTCAGCGTCAATAATACCATATAATTCGTTAAACCTTAAAGCGCATCTTCTGCTCAATTATTGTCAAATATGGAATATTTGTATGAAAAATTGATAAAAGCAACTGCTGTTTTTGAGATGAGCAGTGTGCGACCGTTCTAGCACAACAGAAGGACGCGGCTCTTGAGGTATTTACAGCAGTACTGATTTTTTTGCATTGGCCCAAAAAAAATTGAATTATTTCTTTCGAAGTACTGTACATCTTGACACGATCAAGTACAAATAACGAACGAGCAGTATATTCCACCTGAGTAAAGCGACGGATAACAACGCTGAGCGCCCCCGCGAACACATCAACTTGCTCAAGAAAACTGTCGGAAAGATGATTCCAAAATTTCACAAAAAAAAGACGAAAGAAAAAACCGCTTCGAGCTTCCTCATCAGTAACGCCAAGTTCTTCGCGGGCGAGGCAAAGAAGTGTCGAGAAGAAAATTCTCTTGAAAAAAAAACAAGCGTTCCAAAACACCAAATGTCACCCTTTGTACATCCTCATGGATTTGCTTCAAATGGCAGCTATAATGGGCCCCAAAGGTCAGTTCCCCAACAAGAAACTTCTGCGTGCATATTTTTGAGGTTTCTCATCCACAAGAACATTCCGATGCGATGACTAGCTATTAAATAGAGCCATAGGAGAAAAAATACTTCCAATGCAAAAGTCTGTCGCGTAAATTTGTAGAGGACTGAAAAATGATATCAGCTTTTTTTTTTCTTTGGTCGTCGACAAGCGCCTGCTTGATCTTTTTATAGGATGGAGCAGCCACAGCAGCAACTTTGCGGATAATCCGGACAATGAACCCGGTTTTCGAATCCGAGCATGACGAAAATCCCAGAATAACTCTTCCATTCATACGAAACTTGCGTGACTGGGATTATCCGAATTTGTTGTCGCTGTAAAATTCAAGGAAGAGCATCAGCGTATTTTTTCAAAGGGTTGAATAAAATTAAATATTCCCACCCATTATACAAACGTACTGTATCATGCTTCGTTATATAATCTTTCCGCGGACTAAATATCAAGAGAAATTCCATTTTTGTACACTAAACAAGAAAAATGTATCAGTCTGCTACGATGATTTCCTCCAAACCTCTGCACTTATTTTTGCTATGCAACGAATATTGTTCTTGTCTTGTTGACCCATCGATCTATTTTTTTGTGGAGCTGCTCTAAATATCAATGCTAATGATTGATTGACTTTGTTTAGATGATTAGATAACACATAAGAGATCAAACAAAGCTTTTAAAATGCCCTCGAAATCAAGAGATACCAATTTAAATGATCTGATACAATATTAACTAGCTCCCTGCAGGTATCAGTGCATCATTCTCCATGATGAGCCAATCAGAAAGAATTATGTGTCTCGCGTAAAAATAATGAATTTAGTCGCTTTGCTTCTTCTCAATTAAACTGATTCTTGAAACGGTAAATCGAATTTCTGGATAATCGCATTTCTACTGTAAAGATGGTTCTTCTAGAAAAATATTCGTTGCATAGAGAATGTTTTTTTTTTGTCTTCATAGTACGGTTGAAGATGGAGTCCTCCTGCATTTCAATACTTACGAATGCACTTCCTGAACTAACTTGCGAGCGGTTCAGCTCAGTCGATCGAAGGCAATAAATCGAGATTACTTGTCGAAGGAATGCCAATCAGCAAGTCAATGCCCTCGGGTTAAGAATCTCAACTCTTATACACTGTATATGTATATATTTTTTAGTTTGAAGCTGTAATAGGGATTTCGCCTCAAGAAATCATACGAATTTCTAGATGAATTCATCATTTGAATCGTTTTGCGCGGAGATTACGCGGTCGCGAGTGCAAACCTGGGCAACGATCCGCTGGTCAGTGAACGCAGCGAGGTGCTCCTTCGTGAGCTGAATGGAGGCTAGATTTATGGTCGCGTCCGGAAAGGTGACGATCGGCAAAACCCGTGGGCCCTCCTCTTCGAACGCCACTTGTCCACTGACTTGCTTGATCAAGTCCGTCGGCAGGCTACACCGCTCCACGATGTGTTCCGCCGTCACCGTGCTCCTGTTGGCAAATAAGGGAAAATACGATCACCCGAGCAGATTGGACTTTTTTCATCAGCACGAGCAGGTCGTCTACCAGTATTGACGAGTACGTATAGTAAGGCTAATGATCCCAAACCCCCAGACGCACGCCGCCCTGAAGGTGAAGCCTTGACTGGACTCCTTTTACGGCGCGCGCGCGGGGAAAGCAAGAAGGGAAGGGAATCGTGAGTCGTGGAGAACAATACCATGTAATCGTGAGTCGGATGAAGCACCGAATTTGGCCGTATCCATCGCATGTCGGGCAAGCGACACAACCCCGCGCGTTGCACTTCAGACAATCTTGCTTCCCGTGCCCGTGCGTGGATGAGTGACAGTAAAAACACAAATCCCTCCTGCCGTGTGAGTCAGTCCTCCAGCCGTCCCCGTGACACGTCAGACAGGGCGTCTGCAAAATAATGAGAACCCGGCGATGATGCGGACGTGATCCCTGGCTTCGAGCTCGATCCATTTCTCTGTCAACTGACACTAAAACAACCGCTAATCATCACATCCTGCGTAGGTCGCAGAGTACTGCTCTCCGAACCCTTCATCCGATCATTAACTTAATCTGCATAAACACGCGGAAATGAGGCCCGAATCCGCGCATCCATGAGTGCAGCGTGTCGTACTGAAGATATCAGACTTCAACACCAACTTTATACTTCGAGCAGCAGTAAAATTACGACGGAAAGGTAGCAATGCTTACTCCTCTTTCATCGCTTCAGCGATTTTCTCTCTGTTCAGAAAGGAATTCAGATGAAATTTCGGCAAAAATCAATCCAAGGAAAAATCTTTATGCGAAGTACTGGTTTTAAATAGTTTTTCCTTGTTTAAAATTATGACGTCGCGGAAAAACAAGCGGCACGCCGGGTCATAGAAATTCGGCGTTCTTTCTGCAGTTACCTAGAAAAAGTGAGTTCGATGGCAGCAATTCCTCCCGGAAAAATCTTGCATCAGTGCTGTACGCTAACGTAATTATCGCAGATCGATGAACTAAGTATTAACTACCCGCAATTTAGTTTTAACCGCTGCTGGTGAATTATTTGGCGTACCCGAAACTCGGCTTCCGAGCATCAAAATGTACTTTTAGCGTCGACGACCCGAATAATGCTTCAGTTCGTGGGCGAACGTAGTTGATCTCGGTAAAACACGAGACAAAGGAGAGAAGTGATCAGACTCTCAATCCTCCTAGAAGTTTACTGCCCGTGCTTCGTGAAACTTCAAGTACCCGTTGAACTTCGCACGCGTGGGAGTCGCATGAATGCCTCGACTGTTTTCAAACATGCTCTTGTTGTAGGTGCGATGCCCGCATCAATCACCAGCATCAAACAGTTCACAAATTATACCGCTCTTGCAGCTCGAAAATATTTCTCACCGGCTTTGTTCGGGATCCCTGGATAGACGTTTTGGTAAGTCTCGAGTGAATTGAATACGATAGGTTGGATTTATTGCCGGAAGAAACCACGTTCTATAGTCAGCAACTCGCGATGCAAGCGCGGAGCGTTGCCTGCTTTATTGCTTACCCAGCCTTTGCCATGACATTGGTGACACAGCAAACTTCCTGCTCCGTGACACCGATGACAGTGTTTCACCGTAGCAGTGTGCGGAACTTCCATGACTTTGACTTCGTTGTGGAACAGCAGTTCGGGCTCCACAGTGATGTCCCAGGGTGTAGGCGGATCACCAAACTCGCTGGAGTCGATGTTTCCGCCTCCATAAGGTGTGAAAGCCCACGAAGTTTCACGCTTTTCCGTGAAAGTCTGCAGCTCGTACTGTGAAAAAAGATAAACGCATTTCAAGGACAGGATCTTTCCCATTCAACGGAAAATGCAGTTACGGTCTGGCTATCTCTATCGCTGTTGGTTCGCCGAAAAATGGGGATCACTTCCTGAACATCGGTGACATTGCCGAGCCCGGGCACAATAATCATGAAAAAACACATATCGCAACTGAGATCCAAGGTTGAAAAAGGCCTTGGAAATTGCATCGACTTCATAACGAAAAGCTTGGAAGAACAAGCTTTCCAATAGCAGAACTTCAATAGGAAAGATGTTATTTCATCGGTATCTTTCTCTGTGACATTTTTTAGCCATTGTGAATTAAATACATTTTTTTATTCGAGCCCATTGAAACTTTTGTTTTTAAATAATTTTTATTATATATGCGGTGTGTGTATCTGACATATATTCGCGAAATTCAATCTTTTATAAGGTACTTACTTATTATAAATCGCATGCAATTTTTGACTTAGGCTGCTCATTTAATCATATCATTGGGTTCATCATATCATATTCAATTCGTGAAATCCTATGCTCCGCTGAAGCAATGCACGGAATCGTGAGAGATTATCCCTCAGAAGTCAGCCACGGAACAAAAAGGTCGATGTACTGATGCTGGAAATTTTTTCAATTCTTTTGGCATTCATATGTAGAAAAACCCAGTGGTTCAAAAATTGTGGAAGACGAAAAATTATTCGAATAATCAGTTCAAACTGGCCTATTATGCTGATCGTCAAAATCACCCTCATCCGTTCGAATTGAATAGACCTCGTTATACTCTTGAATTGCCGTTTTTTTATTTTTTGCATTCAAATAAAATTTGTTTTGCTCGAGGGAATATTAAATAACGACCGATGACGAATGAAAGAGCAATGTTCTCTTCTGGAAACAAAACACGACTCTCTCAGTAAATAAAATTAATTTCGATTTTCACGCTAAGAAAAGATACTGCAGAATGGCTTCTGTTTCAAAATCCCCTGCACTCGAGAACTGGCGGATCAGGCAAGGTCCAATCATGCAGATCGCCGTCGGAATGTTGCCAGGGAAGAGCAGCGCGGAAAAAAACAACAAGAATATTGTCTTCGGCGAGGAAGACAAAAGACGACATGGTGCGACACGCAGCTGAGGCATCGTTTGTTGACAATGCATTCCAGCGTTACGGCTGCGGTGCTGTCAATCTTGACAACCAAGAAATCTTTTTTTCCCCGGTGAAATGATCAGCTCGTCCCTTCTTTGTGGTTGTTGGACGATGGTGGATCCTGAGAAGCGTCGGTTACTGAGCTGACTCAACGGTTAAAGCGGAAACAAACGGAAAAGCGTGTGCTCTCGGACAACGACCCTCTTGAAGTGAGAACGTTGTCACGCCATTCAGTGACCCCCCGAGTCCAGTTCTCACGCCGTCGATAATTTCCACTTGAGTAACTGTTCCGGGAAAATTTCCTGTACATTTTCAATCATTTACCTTTTAAAAGATTATACGGACATTTTTAGATTTATTTGCGCACCACGCGCACCTCTCCCATAAAATCCGGGAGAATATCAGATTCGCTTCATGCTTATAAAGGCCCTTTTCTATAAGGGGCGTTATTCCGCGATAAATTAAAGCATTAATTTTAAAAATTATACGGACATATTTTAAAACTCATTTGCGTACAAACGCGCACCTCTCACGTAAAATTCTGGAAAATATCAGATTCACTTTATACTTGAAGGTCCATTTTCAAGGGTTCTGTGATATCTTGTTAGTCCAAATGTGATAAACACGGCACACGTCTTTTACTGGGGTGCGTGGTACAGTATATGAGTAAACACGTGAAGTATATTTTACAAGCGTCAGCATATCTGTTATCACAATTGTTCCCTGCGTCATCAAAACACACCGCATCTCCTCGTTAACCGAAAAACAGATTTCCTGATGTCTAAGGTACGGCAAAAATTTTATTTATGGCTCTTGATTAAGTGTACATTTGATATGTCCTCATTTGGAGGACATTTGGCTAGACTCATCGAACCTCAGCTAGACTCATCGAAAAGAAGATGGCCCACATGCTTTCAATTTGAGAAGTTTACATAGTTATTCCACTTATTCCCCTCTGGTCAATTGACTAGACGTTGGGCTAATCGATATTCGAAGGAAATTCGTTAATAGTTATCTGTTCTCTTTAGATGTTTCTCGAATGTTTTTGCATTTTAAATATAGTAAGACCGCTTTACTTGACTAAAAGTGACCAACTGATAATGCCCCCCGTCATTACTGCAGATGATCGACGTTCCATTTTACTTTCCATGATATGAGAATTAAATGTAAATGTTCCCATTTAAACATACAGCATGTTGTGCAAATAAAGGAATCCTTGTAAATATCTGAAATATCTGAATGCTGCTCGTCTGGAGATTTCGTCGACCGTTGGTACGTGATTCATACCATTCATTGAGTGGAAAAGTTACGCATCTTGTGGATAATATACGAATGCACTTTTATGCGAAAGTGGAAGTGGCAAAAAATCTTCGAGGATGAACTAACGAAGACAAAAATACTTTTGAAGTGCGCATAATATTCAGCGCCTGGAAATTATTTCAGAGATGGATCACGAATCCGAAACCTTCCTTTTGATAATTATCGTCCACAAGAAACTGTAAACCACTGCAAGTGTCAAGATAATATTTTACAGTTAGTACCGCATTATGCATAACTGGTAGAAAATGTTGAGGAGCCATCTCTAGGGTTTCAGATTTAGGTCTGCATCGTCTTGGCTCTTCGACCCTGAATAAATATTTTCTTTTCGAGAGAAATCCCGTCGTGAAAATCGGCGAAGGCACGAGATATACGTCTCATCTTCGAGCCGTGGCGTGAGGACGTGAAAAAGAAAACGTTTCGGCTCATTTGCTCCCCCGAGTTCGTTACTCAAACTCATCCAGTTTAATTTTGTGAATTGATGGGCAGAGGAAAAAGCAATGAACAATACTTCATCCTGCCACCGCGTCAAGCCTGTTTGAAACTCGATCCAACCACATCAACCCTAAGGTTTTCATTATTTCAAGCTAACTTTCGACGCGCGTTCCCGGCTCATCACAGAGAAATTCCTTGGCAGTTCCCGAAGTTGATTCGGCACTTCGAACGCAGGAAGAAGGAGAAGCTTTACTAGGAATTTTCACACCCCGTCGTCTTAAAAAAAGAAAAAAGAAAAACAAAGCGGAGCGCTTGAGTTCAATTTATTTGACACCTGAGCTCGTTGTAAGCATATCCTCGATGTTCAGATAATTCGAGTAGAAGGCGGAGAGGACGAGACCCGACGTGACACCCACATACTGGAGTCATCATAAATCTCCGTTTTCAATTTATTTGCATGGCTCGGCATATTCATGCTACTGTTTTTACCGTTGGACATTATGACCTTGCTCTCAACAGGAATAGCAGTTTTGCAAATTAGGAGTGTTCATTCTTCCAAATGCAGCATGCATTTTTCATCAAGCGCAGATTTTTAGTTCAATGCCCTCGGCATTGCAGATTCTCGCATAAGGAATAATCAGGAGAAATAAAAGTTTCGTGCAAAAAAAAAGCAAGAAGACGCACATGTATGAATACCTAAGATGCTGCATCTTCGGAGCGACTTTTTTACATCCTGAATTTGTACAACCATCCGCCGAATGACATTTGAATCAGGCATCAATGCTCTCAAGATGGAGATTACACAAAATTTCAAGAAATATAGTTTATTTTGAGCTCTTTTGATCGCCTGGAAGTGTTTTTTTCTACTTCAGAGTGAATCTGGAGGATAGTGAGGCAGTGAATGACCTATTGCTCCAAGTAATCATGACATTTTTGAGCAGAAAATGATACTTTTGATACAGTTTTCCCACTCCAAAAAGTCCTACAACTTTTCAAAGATTACAATTTCTACTAGAGCCTTGAAAAAGTAAAAACGTAATTGAACGGAGGATACCGCAGTATAAATTTTTATAATTAGATTCAAAATATATATTCAGAATTTCCATCAATTAGGCGCATTTCCCAAACGAGGAGAAGCAGTGGTTGATCTGGGAACGATTCAGAATCTTGCATGTTTCAATCGTGGATGATGTCTTAGTCAAGTTTTCTTCAATCGATAATCAAATGAGCAAATGTTTTCAACCTCATCCATCATTCAGCGCACGGATGTTAAAGTACTGTAGCTATTCGAAGTTGACTTTAGTAACGAGGTCAATCTTATCAGGCGAAACGGCGCTGTCAAGTGGCATCGAGTCCCTATTAGCAGCAGGTCCTGACTCAACAGAACAGTCTTCCAAAGCGAGCGAAGTCCGAAATGATCGTATTTGGAAGAGCACATCATTCGCCAAGCATTAATAACAAACTCGCTCGATGCTGACCGATCCCATCATATTTCTTGTCAATTTACCGATTAAATTTCTAGCGTGCATGTTTTAAGATCCTGGAGGAATTATTCACTCTTCGAAGAAGTTTTTTCTCTTCGAGAAGGAATGCTGAAAACAAGATAAAAAAAATAAATGTTGAAAAATAAATTATTAAATCGACGACGAATTTCAAGTCCCTGCTGCCTTCGAAAAGTATTTCCGCCTCGTCCAGACATGCCATCGGTATTCGCTTGTGGACCACACCGAGTTAATCAGCCATAAATTCTGCTGTAGCCGAAATGCTTGAAATATTCGAATTCAAGCCGCAACCCGCCACACAGTACTGCTTTTGCGTGATTAAGAACCATTTAAAAACACCAGGTTTAGTATCAATATTGCTAGCTGTTAATTCTGCAATGAGGACCTGCTAATAGGGATTCGGTGTCACCTAGGTTTCTCTTCGACGTTGAAACAGATTTTTGCAACGCGAACTTTCTTCGTAAATGCATCGGCGAATAAGAGTCTCGATGTTTTGAAAACAAAACAAAAAAGTGTAGAAAACATGACGAGACGAAGAAGGGTATGGGCTTCTTCCATCATTACGCGAGCAATCATCTCGAATTCTCGATGTTCACGTTTGCCGAACTTCCATCGATAGGAGATACGATGTCGAGGATCAACGATACTCACGTGGAATGCGGAAGAAGGAGAAATTTTGACGATGTTCATCCTCTTCGCAGCAGAAGCACCGTAGCAGCACTTCTTCTGCACGTGACTCAGCAAAGCAGCTCTCGCCACGTCCTCCGTAATTTCGTGCGCATTGGGGATTTCGGCTCGTCGCAGGTCCCCACTTCTGACCGAAGATCGTGACGAATTTGCTGCATCGAGTTCTTGGATCTCCGGCGGAGGAACATTGACTTCATCGAGAGCAATGAAGATGCAAATAAAAAAAAGAAGCAAAAAATCAAACATCAATTCAACTTCCTTGTAAGTCATGTTCGTGATGCTCGTTGGTCTTGTTTTCCGAGAGAAGGTGTCAGATGAGAACTGATCCCGTGGATACGCGATCATGTGTCATGATAATCTCTACATGTCACCACAACGAGGATGAAAAAATCACGCTCATTATTTACGTTGTCCGTCGGATAATAATGCTCAGAAAAACATTTCAACATTGCTGGGGGATCAACAACGAATTCGTTTTGCAGAAATCGTGGAAAAAAAGCTGATCATACATTAATAGGGGTCCTCTGTAACTATGAAATAAATTTCATGGAATGGAGAAAACCGTTGCCGAGGGAGTCTATATGTGCAATCAATCGCAAAACTACATCTAATGACTTCGTCTAGGACAAAATTTTACAGAATAACAGCGTATTCATCAAATATCAACAAGATGATGTACTTCTGAGAGAAATTCGCCGATGTTCGCCCGATTTTTCGCTTCGGGAGTCAGTTTTTTTTTTTTTTTGAAATTGTTGACAAGAATATACACGCCCCTCTGAAGAGGTAGAGGCGCGGGTCTGCGAAAATTCTGCGCCCTCAAAAAGTAATAAATCAAAGGTAGTTTACATATAAATCTAAATGTTGCAGTGTATTCCATGCGTCGAACAACTGAGGAGAAACTTTGAAAAACGAATGAAGAAAATCGTGTTCACCAAGATGCCGCCCGTGCAGGCGAGTCATCCTATAGTCGTCAACCGGAAGTGCAGGATTTCTCGATGGAATCAAGCATACATACATACATACATACATACATACATGGGAACTACAGTGGTACTCCCAGCATATAGACTCGTTTATCGAAAATTCCGCATTTGGAAATTTTTATCGCCGAAAAAGAAACTTGCTGCAGACAAATTTCCATAATAAATGTCTTACGGAAGGGAGTTTAATGAACGAAAATTAAAGAATTTTCAGAATTTAAACTTATAAAATATCTGCTAAAAGAAGGCAGTAAGAGAAGGCAAACAACCCTGTCATCATCCAGGCATTAAATTGCAGTATATGAGGACTATTTTTTGTCAATTGTTGGAAATTGAATAACTGCGGGCATGTTCGCGTTTGTTCGACTTTTCTTCGCAGAAAGAACATTTTGTGTTCAGAACTTGATAAATAACTGCAACAACATTTTTCGGATCTGGGACAAGTTTCCTTTTTTCGCCTCTGAAATGAATGCATTTTTCTTTTAATGAAACAGCATGGGAATTTTATAGGCACATGAAACATTTCTTCGTGGAAAAAAATCCTTCTGGGGTTCGGGAGACATTGGTTTATTCACGCGGGACCCTTTGCAACGAGGTGACTATGAGAGATGCGATTGTTTTCGATAAAGAATCGGATAGTGGGCGAGTTCATCAGCAAGTCAGGCAGGCGGAGGAAGTTGCGCGAGCCGGGTGACAATTTCTCATAGCTTAGAAGCGTAATGTTTCTCGTGGAACCCGGCCTGCAGCAGAGGTCAAGGCGTATAGGAAACATGACTCACTGGAGATGGGGAGCTCGAGAATCGTCTTCCCGTAGAGCCGATCGTATCGCGACAACGCGGACGACGGCATTTCAGCCGGATCGACGTGAAACCCGGCGCAAAAACACAATTTCCGATGGCCGAGAAAATTACTCCGAGGGAACCGGGCCACCACCCATTAATTAGTACGGCCTTCGGGCGATGCAATCGGTGCTAGCCAGGAAGTCGCGGCCCGAAACGTGCACCATGTCGGGCAGGGAAAAGGGAAACAACTGGGGCACGCATCTCGCAGATGCCCGACGAGGAAACTGCCGGGAACGCCAAAGCGCATGGACGCGGAATGCGTGGCAACTCGTGACTAAAGCCAGCGGGAGAAACGATTCGCAGTGATCCTCTGCTGCCTACAGGTCGTGTTCCCAGGTTTCCGGGCTCTGTTGTGTGATCTTGTTCGGGGACACGCCACCGAGGCTACGCACTTTTTGCAGCCCTACATATCCCCAGGTTGCCACCCTACACCTTTGACTGCATGGTGGGTATCTCACGAAGCATCCCATCAGCTTCAATTGCAACCATCCTTTCCACTTCCCTCAGTTTCCTTTTCAACATCAGACTCAGGATTATTTTCTATACCTCTGTGGAATGACAGAGAGAAATCCAGCAAAGAGAGTAAAAATGACTTTTGAAACCCGTCAGTTTAGCGAAGTTGTCCAAAGGGATTTGTCCGGAGGATGATTGTCAACCAAAAGGCAGAAGGTGCTTGAAGAATAAGGCATGTACAGTACATGATTTTAAAATACGCGTTAATGGTCATTGTTTTGTTTCATCACTCCTCTTCGAGATGAACAGGAAATTGCAAAGTAACAAACCATTCTCATACAAAGAAGCACAGCATATTTTTCTGGACAACCTGTCGAAGTTTGTCATACACTTTCAAAACATTACGCACAACACAGCATACCGGATCTTCGGGGTTTTCTTCGATTTAACATTGTATGTACGCTACGGAATGTATCTCAAATTCAATAATTTAACCCAAATTATACAAATTCCATCATTCGGAAATCCGTTCGAAGAAACACCACACAATTCCAGGATCGTGACATTTGGTCAAATTTTCCTTTAAAATTTAAAATTTAGGAAGTGCTTTGGAAATAATGCAATACAATAGTAACGTTTGGATTGATGTGGGGGAAAAACCGCTGACTTTATGCATAAAACATCTCATATAACGTAAAGCCTGGTCAATGTAGCAAAATCGCCGTTTGCAATGTGCATGTGAACTGCACGAATATAAAAAAAAATATTGGATGCTTTTTATTCGCCCATGAAAATTTTCAAGCCTTAAAAGCTGGATATTTATGTTTTGAAATTTCGCGACAATATTCAAAGAATTTCGCCATAGTTTTTAGCATTATTAGATTCTTGCCAAAAACTGATCACGGTAAGCAAACATTTCATGGGTTTTAACGGAACGTCGACTCTATACTCAAAGACCATGAAAGAACAGTATGTTGTTGAGGATTGCTTTTTGGTTTATTGTAATTTTCATTCGGGATATTCGAATCCGAAATATTTCAATGATCCCGTGGTCCTCTGACGTCAAAAATCAATGCGAAGTTATTTTCTACGATTATTAAGAAAGCCTTCACGACCAATAAATCATTCATTTCGCAAGGATGTTGCAGGAAAACTGACATCTTTTTTAACTCTTTTGTTTCGACTTTCTGCCAGAACTCGATGGAAATGTTCAAGGAGTGTCCCATGCTAAGTTATGCTTTGAGAAAAACGTAATTCATAATCGAAAAAAAGTCTCGAGTCTTGGAGGGGAATGGTATGAAACGAGGTCGATGGCAGAAAATCTCGGGCTTGTGTCATCAAGCTGAATAAAAACGACCACCCCAGTAAATCGCAGCGTAAAATCCGCCAGAACGTCCCCAAAACTAGAGCATAGCGCAGGGCTCTGGTGTATCGATGCGGTTCGCATTGTGCGAAGAACCCGGGTTAGATCCCCCCCGACCCAAGGGTTCGTGCGAAGAAGCGACGCAGCGGC